TTTTTGCATCCTCAGAGTGAAGGCAGGTCTGGGGTGGTCCTTACTCGCTTGAGCATTTGTGGGGAGAATCCAAAATGCGTATTTTTGGATCTTTGCTGAACGAAAAGTGCTGCATTTAGGATTTGAACTCTGTTGTCAAAGGATAGTAAAAATAACAGAATAATTTTAAATGCATCCATCTGTATGGATGTTCTGGGTGCAAGAAAGGGGCAGCTGGATTAACTGACGACAATTTTGGCAGTGGAAAATGTTTTCCCATCTTTCTGTGGTGGTGGGAGCTGGCTCCGAGACAGGCACCAGGGAGTTGCAGGGACCACATCTCCTCGTACCTCAGGGAATTGGGGGAAAACATGCAGGTTTCCCAGCCTGGTGAGGAGCCCAGGATTCGGGTTCCTGTTTGGTCTGTGATAATCCTTCTCTGTAGCAATGAGCAAGGCCCTCACAGCCTGGTCCTACGAGCTAAGGAAATGTGCTCTGTCCTTGCATGGACAAGGAGACACCGAAACCCCGCAGTGTAGATCTAATCCGCCCTGTGTGTCTTTCCATTGCACACGGGTTTCAGAAAGATACGGTCTTGCTCAAATATTTTCTGAATGCCTGATACCTTCCTGCAGCCAGGGGAGGTATCTGTGAGCGATACAAAGCTGCTCCGGCAGGACAACACTGAAACCTTATCTCACACCAAAGGGCAGATAAAGGAGCCTTTTACCATGCTGGCTAAGCAAAAGAGAGGCTCTGGGGTTTTTCCCATCTCCGTCCTCGATTCTATCACAACAGCAGCAAGGCATGGCCATGTCCCCGACCTTGGGCACATCAGGGTCCCAGTGGTCCCCAGAGGACACTGCTGTGGAGCTTGTCCCCCAGTCCAGGGTCTGCTGCCTGCGTGCAGGACACTAACGTGCACCATATTTAGTCTCTGCTCCATGTCTCCTTCACTTTCTCCCTCTCTCTTATCAGGTTTTCTTTGAACTCTTTGTCAAGAGCAAGAAAAGGGAGGATGGGCCCACAGAGGGAGCACAGGGAGGGCTGGTGTGTGGCTCAGCCCCCCCGCACGGGAGCTGCCACCGCCGCTCCTACAGGAATGTGTTTTTCACGGAAAATCAGACACGAGCTCTCCCGGGAACTAGTACACAGTCCTCGGCAGCTCTGTGCTGAGCTTCAGCGGTGTCTCAGGGCAGCTCTGATTGGGGAAAGCACAGATGTAAGCAGTGCTTTACGGTAAGGTCTGGCTGATCTTTTGATGCCAGTCTAAATTTTGCTGGCGTTGATTTATGTGGACAAGCTGACCTTGATGACACATGCTCTCTGGCGCTGAGGTTCCCCCATGCCTCTGACACAGCACGGGAGCACGTGCAGGGCTTTAAGCGTGGACTCAAGCGTTGCCTGCAATAGAAACACTCCTCTGGCCAGGGGCTGTGTCCCGAGCCCTGCACGTAGCCTGTGCTTTGGCTTATTTCCATGTTAAAGACGTCCTGGAAGAACCTGCCAATCTTCTGTAGGAAGCACTACTTAAAGTCAGCATTATAGAGGTCACCCTCCAGTGTCCTGTCACCACAACCTCAACTCCTTGTGCAGTGTCATGTTGAATATCTAACAAATGTGTAGCAATTAGCTTTAGGTGTTAATGAGCAGCTAAGGAGAGAAGGCATTATGAGTGTTAGGACCCTTGACAAATGTCTTCATTGCACAAGTGGAGGATTTGATGAGGAATGAGAGAGAACTGCAGAAAGAGGAGGTTTTTGCCGAAAGCGGGGCCAGGCTGAGTTCTCCGGGGGAAGAGACCCAGCCGTGCTCCAGCAGCGTCGGCAGCAGATCCAGCTGTCCCTGGATGATGTTGCACAGTGTTTCCCAAGTGTTGAGAATCAGGAGTCTTTCTGACTTGAGATAAAAGATCTAGAGACACAAAAAGCCTTGGGCAAACTGAAACAACAGGGTAAGACTTCGGAAGGCGCAGCTGTCCCAAAGCATCCTTTCTTTACCTCTCTTCATGATGCTTTTTTAAAGTTAAAAGAAAACTGAGTGCAGAGTTTGTGCCATCTAATTTTGGTTGCTGTTTGGTAATTGACTTTATTATTTAAAGTATTAAATGCTGCTGTGGGGCAGCGCTTTCCCTGATACTCACTCGTATGCTGATTAAACCCTGACTGACTGCGACATCGCAGCAAACAGCAGTAGGCTGGCAGAGAGCAGCCCAAAAGGGCCAGTACAACAAACCAGGCAGGACTCAGTTTCTCAGGAGCAGCTGGGACTCAGAGGAAAAAGACATACTTAAGAGAAAAGTTCCTGCAGCAAAACCATGGAGGAAAACGGATCATAAAGCAAACACGGCCCTATGCTTAAAGGGATCAGCGTGGGGAGGGGGCATTCAACAGCAGCCACATCAGCTGACAGGAGAGCAGCATGCCACACTAATTGGCTAGTGCTAATGAGGAGCTAAAGCCCCCTCCATCCCCCTACTCAATTCACGCCTGACAGGCCCTGAATGCATCTGAGCCAGGGCAGAACGGGCTGCACGGCTTTTGGGTGAGCACGTGTCCCGGCTCGGGGCTGCCTGCCCATCTGCGTGCTCTGCTTTTGGTGGGTCCCACTGCCACCTGCCACCCTGGGCTACCGAAAAGGTCACCTTGTGATGGGCTGGGGGGGCTGCCAGGGAGTGAGTTAGTCAGGGATGCCAGCAGGAGGTTTGGGGACGACGGGGAGGCTCAGGGCTGTGGGCATGGCCGGGTGTGTGGCACCCACACCTTGCGGCTCCCTCCCTCTCACACACCGTGACCCAGCCTTGGCTGGTGCCCAGGTTTTCACCCAACACTGATGTCCGCGGCGGCCCTGCAAGATTTCAAATTTAAAAATACCCTTTTCGTATAGCCCCTGCTGACCGCTTCCCGCTCCGGCAGCTACTACTGGAGATACTAGAGACGGGGTAAACAGGAAACGTTTTCCACACATCCCGTTTCACTCCTGCGGCTCCGCTGCCGAGGCCAGGGCGGTCCCGCTCCGTGCTGGGCTCTGCGTGCCCGTGGAGGTGTGGGTGGTCGAAGTCCCAGCCGTGCACCGTGACCTGCCTCCATCCTGAGGGCAGAGGACACGGGACAGACGGCGTTAGGGCCGAGCGGTGGTTGCTGCAACTGATACAATTTGGGTCCGGGGTTTTCCCCAAAGTTCACGGGCTTAAGGTTTGGAGGACATGGGGAGGAAAGTGAGGATGTTGGAAGTGAAGGCTCTGCACCTTGCAGGATTGAGCCTGTGTGTCTGCTGAGGGTGGAGAAAGCTGTGGTCAGCTCTGGACCTGAGCTTCCAGTGTCCAGCATCTCAGATCTGAAAAGAGCATCCAGTGCTGCCTCTTCTTGCAAAGTCCATGCAAGTCCTATAACTTTCCATAAGAAGCTGCTGCCTAAAGCTCAGCTGAGTGTTGAGCACAAAAATGGATGGAGATGGACACTCCCGACAGGTCAATATCCCATGCACACACAAAACCACACAGCGTTTCATGCCCAGCCGAGCACAAACACACGGTTGTGCCTGGAAGAGATTCCTCTGGACAGATGCACTCGCAGGGAGTCCCTCAGCCAGCGACGCTCACAGAAAGCAGGGCTCAGTATAAAGTCACCTATTGCTGGGGAGGATGATGGGCAGCAGAAAACAGCCTTTAAAAACCTGTCTGCCAAGGAAAACAAGTGGGGTCTTTCTTTAGCCATGCATTTGTATAAATAAACACAGGAATATTTTGCACCTCCCAGGGGACTTGCCCAGAGTAATTTTTTGCTGAATAAGGGTGGGAGTAATCCTCTGCTCGCCGTAAGCCTGCGCACAATCGCCCTGCACTGCCCAAAGCAGGAGGACCCAGGCGTGTGTGGCACAAGCTGGGGACATGGATGACATCTGTGTCCCCAGGGGACATGGCTCCAGAGGAGATGACGTGTCCCCAGACCCGCGCCATGCTGTCTGCCAGGACAGGAGGAAAGCATACAGGCTGCCATGGGGGTGTCGCTGCCCACAGCAGACGCCTGGCAGCCATGGGGCACTCTCTTGGTGGCCTGATCCTGTCCTCTGAGAGAATCAAGAAAGAATTACCACCTCCACAGCCCTTGTGTTTCAAAATGTCTCCGTTCCTAGTGTAAAGTCTGCATCAGTTTTCAAATTCTACTTAAAAATTGTACTGTTCTACCTTTGCCTACCCAGAACCCAGGTCATACATACACATATATTAAATTTGAGATCACAATCAGCTTTGCACTGGGACGGCCTTGAAAATTACAGAGCTGGGGCCGTTGTTTCCGTGCCCCTCTCTGCTGCCCGGCGCTGAAGACGCCATCTTCGCTGGGTAATGTCCTGCAGGTTTAGTGGCCCAAAGTGCCCATACCTCGCTCTTTGCCAACACAGGGACAGTGTGACGAGAGTGACAAGGCATTCAACAAACTGACTTGCCACTGCATTTTAACCCAAATTGCCGGGGGTCGCAAATACCCCAGGACATGCTCCACTGGCACCTAACACCAACGTGGCCCCCTCTTGAGAAGATGGCTGCCAGTCCCGTCATGCCTGGCATGGGCTGTGAGGGAGGCTCTGGTGCTGTGGGGGTCCTCACCGACCCCCTACCTGTCCCCTCTGAGGGGTAATAAGGGGTGACTGTGAAGGGGGCTGCCAAAATGTGCCCCATGCCAGTGAAGCGGGAGGGCAGGGGGCAGCAGCCATCTTAGGCCTGGTGTGAGGTGCGGGCGGTGAGCCCAGCCGGGTGGCCCTCTCCCTCCCTGTGTCCCTGGGGATACACGGCTGCCTCCTCTCCATTTCGGCACCCCGTGGCCGTCCCTGGTGGGCACGGTGTGGGGGTGCCGCCCCGCGGCCCCTCTCCCCCTCCGGGCTCGGGGCGGCCGTGTTTGTTCTCCTCGTGGCGCCCGTTATCAGCGCGCAACACACACAGGAAGTCCTGTCTGGGATTGTCCATCCCCAGCCTGATTTATACAGGAAGAAAAGCATAAAAAGCCGCCCTTCCACCTCAGCAGCCACCTCCTGCCTGTGCGCGGCCGGCGGCCGGCCATGCCGGGGGTACGAGGCGGGTGTCCAGGCCAGCCAGAGCTGGGGTGGCCAGGCGGGGATGGTCGCCGGGAGCCATGGGGGAGCACGGCAGCGGGCCTGCTCCTGGCGCGGCGGGGGACGGCGGGGCACCACAGGTACCGTACGAGCCCGTGGCCATCACCACGGTGGGGATGAGGTGGATGGGACGGGATGGGGAGCTGGCACTGGGGGCAATGGGAGTGTGTCCTCATGTCCCCATGGGCTTGGGGTGGGCTTTTTGCCCCAGCGATGGTGGAGGTGATGGTGGGAGCCTCAGGGGCTGGTGGAACACGCAGCGCTGGGAAAGGGCTGCCAGAGCAAAGGAGAAGTTTTTAAAGCATCCTTCGGGCTGGTCCCAGTGAAGCCTCTGTTGTCAGCCACACACGTGCTGAGCCAAGGAGCTTCTCCAGCGCTGGTTCACTCAGAGCAGAGCCCAACCCACAGCACTATTATTTTTAATTCACCCCACTGGCACTCGGGCTGTTTTTCAGGAGCGGAGAACTCAGACGGTAAATTTTACATTCTGTGCACATAGAGAAAAGGCTGTGAACACTTGCACAAATACCTGCGAGGTAGCTGGAAATTCTTAGCAAACCTCTTTTCTTTCCATAACTCATTTTCTTTCTCCACCCGCCTGCTCTCTGAACACCTCTGACACCATGTCACGCTCTCCATCCTTCCTCCTGTTCTCCCCCATCTCTCCCCTTGGCGCAGGTGGGAGTGAGCGGCACCACTGTGATTCTTGGCGAATCTGATTTCAGACGGCTTCGTGGCACAATTTGGCCCCCATCACGGGCAGGACGGTGCTGCAGGCAGGGACTGTCCCTGCTCTCACGCAGACCTGAGGCTTGCACAGGCTGAGCCTGCACCCAGCTGGAGTTTCCATGCCAGGAGCTCAGCAAAGCCTCTCACGTTTATAACCGTGGAGCTGGGTGATTTGCATGCTATCTGTTTTCAGTTACCTGCGTCCTGCCGTCCCAATCTGTGGCATTGCACACTGCAGGCAGGAGGCTTTCAGAGAGGCACCTGGGGTATTTTGGGGATAAAAGGCTGGCTGTGGTTAGGAGCAGCTGGGATACCCAGGCGCTGGCTGGCTGTATGGGAGTATGGAGCAGGACCATGCCAGTGAACGGCTCTCAGTTCAAACAACCTTTTTCCCAGGCTCTGACATTCACGGAATCGATTCACTGGGCAGAGAATCAAACATAAAAAGAAATAATAAGGGTTTGTCAGTGATAAAATTAATTTAAAAGCGGATTGGGAAGCTCTGCTACCGCTTGGGAATCTGTGTGAGACAGAAGCCCAGATGCGGTGGCTGCACCCTGAGCCTCCCCGAAAATCCCCCTCTCCTCTGGGCAGCAGCAGACAACAGTCTGCTCTGGCAGATTTGGAATGTTATTCCCTGTGATCCAGCATTCATTCTGCCAATTGAGTTAGTCCCCCTTTATGCTGTTAAATTACCAGCTCCGAACAAGTTTCCCTAGAGGTAAGGAAGAGAAATTGAATCTGGGCTGCAGGCTCATTTGAGCCATTTCCCAGACTCTACTGCTGCAGATGGGGCTGGCTCTGGGGAGACAGATTTACAAACTGCAACAAATTAGAGTAAACGAACCTGACTCACAGTCACACCAGCAGCAGAAGGGCATGGTGAAACACAAGGGAAGATTTAACTTGAGGTTTCAGATGAGACAGAGAAAGAAAAGGAAAGCAAAGGGTCTCTGCGAGCAGGAGAGGATGATCAGAAATGTTATTTCACTCTCCGTTCTCTCTTCCGAAGTGAATGCTTGGATTCCTGTCCTGCCCACGGCCTGGAAGGTGACTGCAGAGAGGAGCTCCCCTTAGTGCAGGTGTCTGGAGCTGGGGACTTTATCCTGAGAGAGAAGGATAATCAGAGCTAAAACCAGTCCTGTGCAACATGCTACTATGCTGAGCTGCTCCCTGGGGTGGCTGTGACGAGGGGACCGAGCCGTGCAGGCAGCTCACAGCTATTCCCACCACTCTAACCGTGTGTGTGCTCCTCGGGGAGTGATTCACTGGGAAAACGCAGAGGGGAACGGTGGGGTTGGGGTGGGGGGGCATTCCCTGCTGACTAATGCCACTTTTTGTCAGGGAGATTTCACAGAAAGCTGCGAAATTCAGTTTATTCCTGGGAGAGATGAATCATTTCCCAGCTTTTGCGCAGCAGCCATTACTACCTCCTCTAAATGAAAATAAGAACTCATCTGTGTGCACATAAGAGAAAATAAACCTGGCTACAGGATGTTGCCCTGTTCACATGCTTGTTTTTTGCACAGCTCCAGCCGGGCTGCTGTTATGTCTCTATGGTCGCCCTAAGTTATAACATAACAGTCTGAGACACTTAATGATGGCAAAGTCCTTACTCAGGCCAAAAAAAACCCCAACAATTTGTGGGAATCAGATCTCAGCCATAATGCACATAGTGCTGGGCGACTGGTGACGACAGACCAAGAGCTATGGGCCAAGTACTTTTCTTGGTTTGACCTGCTTTGATCCCACTGACATCAATGGACGCCTCTAGATTTCCACCGAGATAACTGCTCCGCAGCTGACGCAACCGCCAACAATATGGGACATAATAGAATAGTGGGAGGTCGTTTTCCTGACAGAGCTCTGCAGAAGGGGGGCTGCTCCGAAGCCTCAACTTAAGTGTAAAGTTTACAAACAGCCTTATGAAAAGCCTGAGCAGAGGAATTTGTCCTAAAACAGGAAAAGCCATTCCCCCTTTTTTTTCAGAAGGACCAAAAATTCCTATGGCTTTAGCAAGTGCTTCCAGTTCGGCACAAGACCCCTGCGGAGGCCAGCGAGAGCCCATTGTACACAGCAGGTTTGGGGTCAGCTGTGGCCTGTAGGAGCTGAGAAGTTTTGCATCTGTATGTGTGTCACTCCTCTGTCTGTCTGTCCCCCCATCCGTCTGCCTCCATCTGCCACTTTGGCACCTCTGGTCCTGGTTTGGGGAAGCTTTTGGACATGTCCCATTTACTGTGGTGGGCTGTAAGCACTCCTCTCTTAGGAGGGGGTTCCTGGTGTTGGACTTCAGTGCTCATCTCCTATTAATTCTCCTCTGTTAATCATTCCTTTTTCACGCCTGCAGAGCCATAGCAAAGTTGAGATCCCCCCACCCCAGCCCCTCTGAGCCCACCTATCGCAGAGGGGACCGGCTGGAAGCCCAGCCCACCCCTCCAGCCCTCCATCCACCAGGGATGCTCTCAGGGTGATGCTGGATCTGGTGCTGGTGCTGGGGTGAGTGTGTTGTGCTTGGCAGCTCAGTGGGACTCAGCTCCCCTAGGAAATGGTGGGTGAAGATCTCACCTCAGATGCCAGCCCTGGTGCCCAGCCTGAGACCTGCTCCGGGCCAGCCCTCAGCGTGCCTCGTAGCTCACACTGGTGGTAAAACCAGTGGGAGACAAGGAGATTTCGACATTGTTAAATCTAAGAGGGAGGTTGGGCAGAAACATTTCTTTCTTGGCCCGGAGACAAGCATTAATATTAGATGTCGTGGGAGTACGCTTCTAGAGCGCAAGGGAGAGAGCTTTGGAGGAAACATGTAAAACACCGGCCCAGGGAGGACTTCAAATTCAGCCAGATTTGCAGTTGGGAGCCAAAATCCCTGACTGCCTTTGTCAGAAGCTCATCACGCCAATATGAACAGAGCCAACAGATCCGATCTTCCCCCACTCTGAACTGGCATCACTCCTCTGCTTTCAAGGGAACTTTGCCAGGCAGTGTCCTGGGGGATTTCCTCCCAACATAATGAATATTAGCATATAAGACACTGAACCCTCCCTAAGAGTGGAGGATTAAATGCTCTTTTAGTGGGTTATATGCAGTTCTTAAGCAGCTGACATGGGTACTTGCTTGAGCAAAGATTTGACCCAGTAAATGGAACTGAAAAGCAAACATTTTGCAATTAAAATACTCACAGAATTTTAAAATGCTGCAGAGCACTTAGGGACTAATTGTCTGATGGCTGAGAAGGCTCTAATGGAGACCCTGAGCGGTGGCGTGCTTTGTCCTGCACTGGGTGGCATTGTCCCACAAGGACCTGAGAGCTGAGTGATGCTGGATGTCAACAAGTCCATCCCCTTTCTCACCATCAGATTTACATTGGGTTGCCCGGGCAATCTTTGCCCATAAATGAGCGTGTGTGTGTGCTGAAGATGGTAAAATCTGAGATGGGATCACCCATCAGTGTAAGGGAACTTGGATGCACCCAGGAGAGTGCCAGTGGGAACAGGGCACCCCATTATCTTGGGTTCTTGGAAAATCCCAGCCCTGGGATTTTCTGGAACTGCTGGAGGGGCTGGCTCAGTGCTCAGTGAAGCCCTGGTGCGGTGTTAGGTGGAACCAGGGCTTCTGCTCTGCTCTTCCCTTGCTCATATCCCTGCCTGCTCACCCCCAAAGGGTGCCAAGGCACCGTGGGTCTTCCTGGCCTTTCCCACCAGGGTGACTGCAAGGTGACCTACACCATGGGCTCATGTGAGCGAGGGGAGGACCAGGACCCATAGGATGCTCCTAAAATACGCGCTGTGCAGCCTGCCCTGCCCAGGAGGGAAGGGACGGGGCTCCTTGTGCTCTGTTGCCGGTGTCGCGGTGCCCAGCGAGGCTTTTTGGTGTGAGCTCAGTGCCAATGGCAGACACAGGTACCCTCTGGCCAGGATCCGGCGTCCATCCTCCACCCCACCCCACAAGGAACATCCAGGGAGCCCCACACCTGGTCCATCGTGGGCAAGAGCTGGGTCATGGATCTCTGCCTGCACGACAAGGGGAGTGTAACGACGGGCTTTTTCTCTCCTGACAGTAAGAAACCAAGATGCTCCATAAGGAAAGGATCCCTGCCCAGGACAAATGACGGAGCACCACGAATAAGGTGAGCGTCTCGGCCGCGAAATTAGATCCTGTGCTTTCAGTATGGCCCAATGGAGAAGTTTTCCATTGGCTTCCAAATGCATTTTGCAACTAGTAGAGAGGTTGAGTATCGGGCTCTGTTCATCTCCCCCACACACACCAGAAAAAAACAGTAACACTCTCTGCATAATAAGATAATTACTGTCCCTTCAAGACTCTTGGGGAAAGTTGCCTGTGCTTTGTGCTTATGAGATTAAATGAGCTGAAATCATTCCCCAGAGGTAGGCTGGATCCAGGCAGCACAAGTGAACCTGTTCATGCCGTATGAGATGCTGCGTAACGTGGAGCTCCACTTCCACCAGCATCAGCGAGCCTTCCCCTCGCTGCCAGGAGGGATCCCATCTCCTGTGCATTCCCTCCACCCCGGCAACGGAGCTCCATCTTCACCCACACATCCCAGAGCTGATTCCCCTCTGCTCTGCTCCCTGCCCCAGGGAGGGTCTCACCCAAGCAGTGTATGCTCCTTTCATGCAAGCCCACCCGAGACCCCCACGCCAGCAGATCTTGCACCCATCGGCTTCCCCAGAGGGTGCAGCACAACCAGAGACAGCTCCAGTTCAATCAGCAGCCTCAGCGTATCCATGAGGAAGCGCAGGGGACGGGCCAGTGATCTCAGTTGCTCTTTTTGGAGCCATTATTGTTTAACTGGTAAATATTTCCTTTAAATGCCTACATGCTTTCAAAAAAAAAAAAATTAAATTGCAAAGCTTAATGGGAACAAATATTCCCAGGGGGTTGTATCCTGCCTTTCATTTGCACATCAGACCCCTGCTATCTCTAAGGCTGGTTCTGTGCACGGGCAGGCGCCTAAGTCATTTGAAAAACAATAAGCCTCTGTGCTCTAATTTCCCCGAGAAAAATGTAGACAAAACAAGTGGCAGTTTTGGCACAAACCGAACTGCAGAATTTGCTTTGATAAATCACCGGGTGTTTAACCCGAGAAGCCTGCAGGCAGCTGGGGGATCAGCCTGCCTGCTCTGTCCCGGGGCAGGTGTTGGGAAGCTGGGGGAGATGTGCCCTGTGTGTGTCCCCATGTGGAATTTGGGCATCTCTCTGGATCCATGGCTCCATGGCTGAGGGGGTGTCCAAGGAATCCTTTAAGCATCATTTAGGGCTCGCTGGAAACCGGCCTCACTGTCCTGGCAGTTCATCACCTGCTTCTGGAGGACTTTGCTGCTCTAACGAGCTCAGGTGGATTAACGAGGCACGGTGGGAGGCTGTGGACCCGGGTTAGGTGTCTAACCTAGAGAAAGATGATGTCTCCTTTTATAATTATATCTCCTTTTGGGGAGTGCAGAACCAGCCACAGTATTTTTTAGCCAAGAGAGATAAATTTGCCCTGGTCACTGCACTGGTGATGGACCATTTCACCTGGGAGTCTGCTCCCGATTGACACCAGGGCAGGGATCCTCCATCGGGGCTGGAGGGGCAGCATCATGTGGGACAGGACAATAACACCAGCATGTCCCCCCCGGGACCAGGCTCCTCCAGGGGGTCCTGCCCTGTCCCTGCATGTCCCACCCGGGCTGAGCTTCTAAGGGGGGTTCCTGCCGTGTCCCTGCATTGCCTACCCCGCCAAGGACCAGGCTTCTCCTGGGGTCCTGCCCTGTCCCCCCATGTCCCACCCGGGCTGGGGGTCCTGCCGTGTCCCCGCATTTCCCGCTTCCCCCACACCCCCCCACAAGGACCAAGGTTCTCCTGGGGTCCTGCCCTGTCCATGCATGTCCCACCCGGGCT